GAATGCAAAACTGCTTAGGACTCAAATGAGGCTGAAGGACCCATGCAGGGGCGGCTCAACCCATTACGTAAAGTAAGCATTTGCAGTATAGTTGAGTTTGCCCAGGGGCGCTCTTGAGGCGCTCTTGGGGGGAAATAGGCCTTGATATATGCGAGTTGTAGTTACTGGGATGTATAGTTCACCTACAATCAAAGAGCATTCTGAACTCCACCAATGATGGAATTGAACCAAATATGGCACACAGAACTCCCATGACGAACAGAAAATATATATCAGTGATTTGTTGGGGGGGGGGGGCAAAATACTGTTTGCTTACAGTTGAAAATTACCTAGGGCCGTCTCTGGACCCATGTGAGGGTTGGCCTCACCATTCACCATTTAGAGTTAGTCTAAATAAAAGTAAGTAATAGTATCTGTGCTACATTGAAGTTATGTGGTTGTGTGTCATAAAGACAGACAAACATTCAAGGGGAGTGCTGTTGTCGCTTTTTTGGGGAGGATAAATTATTTTGGTGTAAACTTTTAAAAATCCCCAAAAACCTGTGTGAATCTTTCTGAAACTTCCAGGGATTGATGCTCCCATTAATTTGTGCATTATATATAAAATTCAAGTAACTCTTGTAGTTTTTTTAAAAAATGTTTATGAAAAATTTGCCAAAATTCCATGGATAAGTCAAATATTCTGAAATTAGGTGAGTTAACTGTGGTAAAGGCATTTTACCACTGTGGCAAGTTTCACCAGGATAGCTCAGAAATGAGAGAGAAAGAAACCCCTCAAGATTCCCCACTGACAGCGCTGTTTTCCCTATTGTGCAATTGTGACCACTGTTAACAAAGTACTTACCAAGATTCATAAGTTTCATTAGAGTTCTGAAATTTTTACCCCCAAAATTCAGAAAGAATTTTAGAAATGAACCACCAGCACCCCCTACTTTTGAATATTGTTTAGAACCATTTTTTAAAAATTGATTGCACATGCCTAGTTGTTACCATCAAATCCATTGGCAAATTGTAATTGTATTGAAATGAACTTGGTGCACACATACCTATAAAAATACTCTCCATGTTCAATAAAGATAAAGCAAATACAGTAAAAACCAACACAGTGGTGGGATGGCAGATTTGTGTACTCTCCTGTACGAATGCTTGAATAAGCAGCTGGACAAACATAGGGCATTATGTTTTCGTTCTTTTGTATTTCAAGGTTTGCATTTAGAAGTCCTTTGTATTGCTCCCTCTGCATTTGGTTATTTAGTTATTTGTGTCCTCCAATTCACTTTCAGCCTTTGACAAAGGTATTTTTACTATTTTGAAAAAAAAATAAAGAAAGTGTAAATAAGAAATGAGGTTATAGATTGCTGTTGCCATGCCGACTGAAGAGGTAAGCGAAGAGACCATTCAATTGCAGCTGTCCTACAAGGAATCTTTCCCCTAATACCTAACATTAGCTGTTCATCAAAATGGAGAAGTTATTTATGAAAAAAGGGGAAGAACACAACTATACCAATATATGAAGAATGGCTGTCTAGAACTATTGGACTTGGCTGAAATGAAGAAATTAACAATTTGGATCAGAAAAAAATCACTAGCAACTTTTGAAGAACTGAGAAGCTTACATTTTTATTTTATTTTTGCAGAATGGTGAGAGCAACATATTGGCTGTAGGCTTTGCTTAGTTGATTAGTTTGAGCAATAGAAGTACATAAATGTTACCAACAATTACTGGTAGTTATATTTGAAGAAGCTATTTTATTTATTTCTATTCAATCATCACTAAATAGGAGTCGTGGTGCCACAGTGGGTTAAACCGCTGAGCTGCAGAACTTGCTGATCAGAAGGTTGGTGGTTCAAATCCATGGAGCAGGCTGAGCTCCCACTGTTAGTTCCAGCTTCTGCCAACCTAGCAGTTCGAAAACATGCAAATGTGAGTAGATTGATAGGTACCGCTCCAGCAGGAAGGTAACAGCACTCCATGCAGTCATGCCGGCCACATGACCTAGGAGGCGTCTATGGACAACACTGGCTCTTTGGCTTAGAAATGGAGATGAGCACCACCCCCCAGAGTCAGACTCGAGTAGACTTAATGTCAAAGGGAAACCTTTACCTTTAATCATTATTAAGAAGATTGGAAGTCAAATGCATAGTCTTTTTTTTCTTCTTTCATGCATCTTCCTATGTTTCTTTTATCTATATATTAATTTTTTCTTTTGCTTTATTCTTTGTTCTTAATGCATATGAAAAACCTTAATAAAAATCTAAAACAAAAACGTGGAAGGTGTTCATCACACTGATCATCTTTAAAAATGAATATCAGCACCTGGGACTGGAACTTTAAACTAATACAACATTCTCAATAGTCACAGCCACATAAGTGGATGTTGAAGAACAGGAGTTGATCTGCCATAATTCAAAGAGCAACGGTCAAAGGTGCTCAGTCTGCCATGAGCGACTAATAAAATTCGAGTGCTTTTCCAGTGCCTCAGGGTGACACAGAACATAATACAATGGCAATCACATTCTTTGATGCTCCTCCCCTTATAAAAGTATAGAGTCTCACCGATTGCAGAAGTGGTGCTTAAAAATATCTCATACATAATTAAGTACATGGGCAACAACATCATTAGGAAATCTTCATTTGCCCTGATTTTAAAGTATTTTTTAAAACCTTGCCAATTTTCACTTTGGCCATTAAGTTCATGACTGATGCTCATCCCCTTGGAGCCTCTGGTGGCACAATGGGTTAAACCCTTGTGCTAGCAGGGTTTAACATGAACATGACATGAAAAAAAAAATCCTCTTACTGTTTTCAAAAACATTCTCACTCAAAGATTAGATCCAGGTGAGAAGATTGTTCCTCTCCCAAAAACTGTTATATTTCTCAAACTGCAAGACGTAGAGGTGGGTTGAATTTTGTAGGAGGAAGAAATTCCTTCTTGTTTTTATGTGTCAAGTCATTTCCAATTAGTGTGGAAGTTAAGTTATCTGTTGACACATGTTGACCAGATGCATTTCATAGGGCTTTCCCAGGCAAAGAATACTCAAAAGGTGTTTTTAGTTCCTTCCAGTAAAATATATTTTGCAGTACCTGGTATTTGTTGTCAGTCTCCCATCCAAGTGTTAACTGCAACTGATCCTGCTTTGCTTCCAAGATCATGGTAGGGGATTGGACTAGATGGCCCATGTGGTCTCTTCCAACTCTATTACTCTATTATTCTATCAGGTGCCTTTAGGATATTTAAGCCAAATTAGAGCAACTGTGGAGCCCCAGGTCATGCAGTGCATTAAACCACTGAGCTGCTAAACTTGTTGACTGAAAGGTTGCAAGTCCAAATCTGGAGAGTGGCATGAGCTTCTGCTGTCAGCCCCAGCTTCTGCCAACCTAGCAGTTCAAAAACATGCAAATGTGAGCAGATCAATAAGTACCTCCCTGGTGGGAAGGTAATGTCATGCTGGCCACATGACCTTGGAGGTGTCTACAGACAATGTTGGCTCTTTGGCTTAGAAATGGAGATGAGTACGAGCCCCTAGAGTCAGACACAAGTGGACTTAATGTCAGGGGAAAACCTTTACCTTTATCTAGAACAACTGTGTTCCATGATTTTCCTAGCAAGAGTTCTTTGGAAGGGATTTGACATTTCCCTGCTTTGGAAAGAGCATGACTTGCCCAAGATTGTCCAGTGGATTTCATTAACTGAGCAAAGATCCAGTATCCTGAAGTCTTGGTCCACTGAGAGAAAAAACAGGATATAAATAAACATTAAAAGAGGAGGAGGAGGGATTGAGGGCCCTTCCAAAAAGGCCCTTTATCCCAGGATCTGATCCCTGATTTTCTGCTTTAAACTGGATTATATGAGTCTGCACAGAAAACCTGGGATCAGATCCTGGGATTAACACCCTTTTCACACAGCTGAATAAAATCTCACATTATCTGCTTTAAACTGGGTTGTATGACAGTGTGGGCTCAGATAACCCAGTTCAAAGCAAATATTGTGGGTTTTTCTGCCTTGATATTCTGGGTTATATGGCTGTCTGGAAGGGCCCACAAGGCCTGTCCGGAAGGTGAAATCAGAACCCTTCCGCACAGCCCTATATCCCAGAATATCAAGGCAGGAAACTTATTGATTGATTGATTGATTGATTTAGTGTATTTGTATACCGCCTTTCTCAGCCCATAGGTGACTCAAGGTGATTAACAGGGCAAAATGCAATGCTTACAAAGCCATAAATACAATTAAAAACATAACATATAGTAAAAACTAAACAAATCAATAAAATATAAATTCATAGTATCTCCTTGTTAAAAACGTTGTCCAGACTCATTGTCTAGTGGTTCCATTTTCCTGTGTCAGTTTTTCTGCATTTGCAAACACTTCTACAAAAGCAACATCTTGACTTTTTTCCAGAATGTTAAAAGGGAGGTGGCCGATCTAATATCTATAGGGAGGGCGTTCCACAGCTGAGGGGCCACCACCGAGAAGGAAATCCCACATTATCTGAGTGTGGACTCAGATGAACCAGTTCAAAGCAGATATTGTGGGATTTTCTGCCTTGACATTCTGGGATAGAGGGCTGTGTGGAAGGGGCCTCAGCCCACACTCAGATAATGTGGGATTTTCTGCCTTGATATTCTGGGATAGAGGACTGTGTGGAAGGGGACTCAGCCCACACTCAGATATTGTGGGATTTTCTGCCTTGATATTCTGAAATAGAGGGTTGTGTGGAAGGAGCCACAGTCCACACTCAGACAATGTGGGATTTTCTGCCTTGATATTCTGAGATAGAGGGTTGTGTGGAAGAGCCCTCACTGAAGGGGAGATAGGAAGGGAGAATTSTGTCCCTTTTGGGTGGCCATTAAAGCCTGGCAGGATYGAACTGAAACTTTAGCCAAAGTGGAGGAGGAGGCTCCTGCTCCAGCGGCTYKAGCGTTTCCTGGGATTCATTACTTTTTTTTTTTTTTTTGCMGCTTTGCTCCGACCAGACAGCAGGTGGGAGCCAGGGAGGGCTGGGCTTGTCTTCTGGGAGGGCCCTTCCTCTTCRTCCTCCTCCTTTTTAGCACTCCAGTTCAGCCCCCAAGCCTGGAGCAGCCTCTTCGCTTGAGCCCTGAGCTCCACCTTTCGCCCAGCACCATGGACAGCGACCCTCTGCGGGACCTCGACGCCGCTGGCTTCCTCCGCCTCTGGCAGCACTTCGACGCCGACGGTGAGGCTGGGAGGGGAGCTTAGGGGTCGAGGAAGGAGGGGAGGGGTCCCCAAAACGAAGGGGAAAGGGCACCGCCTGGAAATGGGGCGCCTCCTGTGGGGCATCCAGAGAGGCAAGGGCTCAACCTCAGGGTTGCCCGTTTGTGCCACCTTAGACTTGCTCATTTAGCTCTCCAAAGTTTCTCCCTTCGAGTTCCAAACAGCTGGGCAGACCTTGTGTCGTTACAGCCATGCAGTTTGAAGGTCTTAACATCCTTTTCTGTTTCTTTCCCTCATCCTCTTTCTCTTAACCCACCTGCCACTTTTGTCACCTTTGGAGACAAAGCCTTGCCCAGCTCTGAGTTCGGGTTTTATGTGTAAAACATAATAAAATGAATTTGTTTTTAAACTCCATTGTTTCTGACCATCTAGTGACCCCCACTTACAATTCTTGTGTTTCTGGGACTACTAAGAGTGGTCCGATATTTGTCAAAGTGTATATTGTTTGAACTCTGAAGCTGGTGACTGACTGAGGCTCTTTCCACACAACTGTACAAAATCTCACACTATCTGCTTTGAACTGGAATATATGGCAGCGTGGACTCAGATAACTCAGTTCAAAGCAGATATGGTGGGATTTTCTGCCTTGATATTCCACCCCGAGTCCCCTTGGGGGAGATGGAGCAGGGTATAAATTAAGTATTATTATTATTATTATTATTATTATTATTATTATTATTATTATTATGGTTGTGTAGAAAAGCCCCCAGGCCCCTTCCACACAGCTGTATAGAATCCCGCATTATCTCCTTTGGACTGGGATATATGGTGCCCCCCCCCTTTCCCAGTGGCACAGTGGGGTTAAACTTCTAAGTTGCAGAATTTGCTGATCAAAAGGTCAGTGGTTTGAATCAGGGGTTGTGGGGTGAGCTCCTGCTGTTGGCCCCAGCTTCTGCCAACCTATCAGTTTGAAAACATGCAAATGTGAGTAGATCAATAGGTACCACTCCAGCGGGAAGATAATGGTGCTCCATGCAGTCATGTTGGCCACATAACCTTGGAGGTGTCTATGGACAACACTTGCTCTTCAGCTTAGAAATTAAGAGTAACACCCCCCCCCCCCAAGAGTCGGACACTACTAGACTTAATGTCAGAGGAAACCTGTATCTTTACTATATGGCAGTGTGGACTCAGGGCCCCTCCATAAAGCCATACAATCCAGAATATGGAGGCAGAAAATCCCACAATATCTGCTTTGAATTGGAATATATAACAGTGTGGACTCAGATAACCCAGTCCAAAGCAGATATTATGGGATGTTCTGCCTTCATATTCTGGGTTATATGGCTCCTTCCACACCGCTGTATAAAATTCCACAATATCTGCTTTGAATTGGGATATATGGCAGTGTGGACTCGACAGTGTGGTCTTGCCACACAGCTATATAACCCTGAATATCAAGGCAGAAAATCCCACAATATCTGCTTTGAACTGGGTTATCTGAGTCCCCGCTGCCATATAACCCAGTTCAAAGCAGAAAATGTGGAATTTTATTCTGCTGTGTGGAAGGGGCCATGGATAACCCAGTTCAAATCAGATATTGTGGATCACCTGCCTTGATATTCTGGGTTATATGTCTGTGAGGAAGGGCCCTGACTCCATTTAAGTAAGTGCTTCCTAGCATCCTCACCATTATTACACTATGTAACAAAATTTGAAAACAAATGTTGCTCCTGCATCAAAAGTGTTATTCCTGTTTAATTGTATAGCACTTATTTTGAAAGTAATTGTCATATTCATGAAGTTTTGTTTTTGTGGCTGCCACAAACTATGTTGAATTACTTGCAACTCAAAGAGATATTCATTGAAAAACTATAGCTAAATCTGCTGCAAGATGTCCCACAAAAACAAAGTTTTTGCAGTTTAATAAACTTTTTCTGTGTTTGTGTAATAGACCCAACTAGGAAATGACATTTATAACCCAGGAACAAAAATCGTGTTACATAGTGTGATTCTCATCTTTATTCTTTCCTAAAAGTAACACACAAAGGAGATCCTGGCTGTACAAAGCTCATAGTGTTATGTTTTGATCTCCTGATAAAATATCACTCTGAAATTACATCTTGTTAAACATGTGTATGCATAAGCGGCATGCAGGTAGCCTCTTAACCTAGCACAGGAGCCCCTGGTGCCAGCAGGATGGGGTGAGCTTCCGTCTGTCTGCTCCATCTTCTCATGCAGTGACATGAGAGAAGCCTCAAACAAGATGGTAAAACATCTGGGTGTCCCCTGGGCAACATCCTTGCAAACAGCCAATCCTCTCACACCAGAAGCAACTTGCAGTTTCTCAAGTTGCTCCTGACTTGAAAAAAAAACCCTAGCACACATTTACATTTCAATAAAATTATTTATTTTAATTATAATTTTAATATTTTTAAATTATCAGGTTAATGTATATTACCCTGTCAGTATAGCTTTGATTCTTCTTTTACTTACTTTTAAAATCTTTATATATTTACTAGGCACCCTCCAGCACGGGTAGCTTATATCTTGTACCATATTTGTATTAATGTCAATTTTGTCACTGGTACCTATGTGCTGATGTCAAAGAGACATAACTGAATGCTGTCTCTAAAAATATTCTAAAAATCTAGGTGGGTTGTGTATGCCATATCGCTTAAGCAAGCTTTAGTTTGTTCAAAAGGCATCAACAGAAGTATGCAATGCTTACAAGTATGTGTAATTTCTAAGGATCAGATCATAAACATTAATACTATATTTCATAATATATATTTTCATTGATTTTAGACAATGGTTACATAGAAGGCAAAGAACTTGATAACTTTTTCCATCATCTCCTAAAGACACTGGGCAGTGAGGTAAGTCTGTCTCATATTATCTGCATGTAAGGATAAACATAAACATACAGTATGGTCCTCATATCTGTGGGGTACATTTATCCATGTCTACAAAACATGTCCTATCTAGGAATTTTCTAAGTCCTACAGTGTGACTCTATGCTTCTTAAGAGAGAAGTCCTTTATTTCAATAAGATTAACTATGTTACATGGTTTTGGGTATCCCCATGAAATCAGGGAATGTGTCCTCTGCAGATAGTCATACTATACACTTGCTGCACATATGGGAAGTACTGGGTCCAAAAGGGTACTTGGAAAAGAATAGGAAGACATTGCTTTTTGTTGGACTACAGATCCCACAATCTCCTGGTCAGGATGGTCCCTGCTTCTTCTGGCTGGGGATTCTGAGGCTGTAGTTTACAAGAACCCTGATTTTTCTTTTTAACAGCTTTACAGGAAATTTTCAGAAAGATTAGATTCTTTCTACTCTGTTGTTTTGAGACTACATTCTGCAATTAATGCAGTTTGACATCACTTTAACCGGTGGCAAAATGGGCAAAACCCTTGTGCTGCTGACCTGAAGGTTGGCAATTTGAATCACAAGACAGGGTGAGCTTCTGCTGTCATACCTAGCTCCTGCCAACCTAGCAGTTTGAAAACATTCAAATGTGGGTAGATAAATAGGTATCTATTCAGTGGGAAAAGGCAAAAAGATGCTCTAAGCCAGTGGTTCTCAACCTGGGGTCCCCAGATGTTTTTGGCCTACAACTCCCAGAAATCCCAGCCAGTTTACTAGCTGTTAGGATTTCTGGGAGTTGAAGGCCAAAAACATCTGGGGACCCCAGGTTGAGAACCACTGCTCTAAGCAGTCATGCTTGTTACACGACCAGGAGGTGACAACGCAAGGTCCTTGGCTTGAAAATGGAGAAGAGCACCTTCCCCAAGAGCCAGAGTTGAGCACCACTTCCAGAGCCAGAAATGAAAGGAGAAGGCTTTGTGTATGTGTGTCTCATTGCATTGTAACAAGCCGTTGAATGTTTGCCTGTATCTATTTATATACTATAATCTGCTCTGAGTTCCTTTGGGGAGAAGGGCAGAATAGAAATAAAAATTATTATTATTATTATTATTATTATTATTATTTCTGTAGTTTTATGAAGTCCTTCTCTGCCAAAGGGTGCTGGTGCCTCACCAAACTCCTAGGATTCCATAGTTTTGAGCCATAGCAATTAATGTGGTGCCAAAATGCATTAATTCTCCATTGTAAATGCACCCAAGGAGAGGGTGAGGACTAGCTGCATTGTCTTTTCACCTTCCTGCCCTGCTAAATTATGGGCTGATTGCTGCCATTGCTGGAAAGGCAGCAAAGGGCACGAGCAGAGTATTTAACCAAGTGTGTTAGCTTTGCCACTTCCTTCCTTAGTGATTCTTAAAATATAGCAAATTGCTCTCTGTTGGCAGCAGAAGTTCCACTTAGGTTCTTTTCACAACAGGTGCACAGACTCCATTATCGCAGCTTGTCTTCCAAGTCTGCACAGGTGCCACCCACGCAGCGGCCATAATTCTGGCATAAAGCAAACCTGTTTCTTTCATCAACATTGGGATGGGGGGAGGAAGGTCAAAGAGACCACCGTGTTTAGACTAATGAAAACAGACTGAGAAGAACAGTCTATTTTGGGTGGAGGGTGAGAGAGCAAGGTTTAGAGGGAGAGCGGTAAATGCTTCTTCTTCATTCAAAGCAGAGCTTGATTAGTTTTGCAGATGCAATATTCTCATTTCCAGAATCGATTAACATGGTACTTTTCCCAGAGTTAATTTACACTAGCTTAGGAAATGGATCTGTATACAAACAGCTGTAACTCTTGCTTTAACGGTGTGGTCAATTATTTATCTTCTGTTTCCTTTCAGCTGAGTTATTGCTCTTTTTGTTATTATGATTATTATTTCCTGCTGTTCAAAATAGGAGGAAAACACACAGGGCTTTCTTTGCATATTCTCTGACACTTTGTTTTGTGTGGCTCTCTGGATGTCACTGAACTGCAACTCCCCGGAATTCTCACCATTAGCTATGCTGCCTAGGGCTGATGGGACTTGTAGTTCCATCATACGGAGAGAACAGAATTCTCTTCCCTGATTTAAAATCACACTAGAGAATGAATCCACTTAAAATCCGGTTTCTGCCTCCTGAAGATTCCGGGGTTTGTAGTTTAGGGAGGCAAATGTTAAAGGCTCCTCCCTAAACTACAAACCTTAGAATTCTGCCAGAGGCAGCAACCTGATTTAAAGTGGATTCATTCTCTAGTGTGATGAGGTCCTTACAGACAACATTCAAAAAACATAAAAATATCAATAAGCATTTGAAAACCACTGCAGGCATATTATGTAATGAAAGGATTGACAGGCCCTTAAACTCATGTCCGTACTGGATTTGCCTTTAAGTTCCAAAGACCAATCATAGAGGAAAGTAAATTAAAGGGGAGGGGGGGGAGAGAGAGATATGAAATTCTTTCTGAACTACTACCATGTTACTGTGAGTTAGGGGGTGTAACACAAAGATAGGCAGCTATATATCCTCCAATATTAACTCTGCTTACTATAATTGATATATAATATAATTATATATTAATTATAATATATTAATTATATAATATAATTAATATATAATTAGTTATATTAAGCAGAGTTGAAGACCAACAGGTCGCAGGTTCAAATCTGGAGAGAGGGTGGATGAGCTCCCTCTATCAGCTCCAGCTCTCCATGTGGGGACATGAGAGAAGCCTCCCACAAAGATAATAAAACATCAAAAACATCCAGGCATCCCCTGGGCAATGTCCTTGCAGACAGCCAATTTTCTCACACCAGAAATGACTTGCCATTTCTCAAGTCCCTCCTGACATGACCAAAAAAAAACCAACCTCTGCTTTCATCGTTGGTCATGCTGGTTAGAGCTGATGGAAGTTGTTCAAATCATGAGAGAAGGATGTTGTGAGTGTTAGTGGGCTTAAACTCTTCATACCTTCCCGCTTAACCTTTGCATTCTTGTTAGGATGTGAATGTCATTCATAACATATTCACAATACGTTTGTGTCTATGGGTGCATCTATACTGTAGAATTAATACAGCTTGATATTATCTAACTGCCATGGCTCAAAATCATGGAATCTAGTTTTACCAGATCTTTATCCTTCTTGGCCAAAAACTTCTGGTGCCTCACCAAACTACAGGTCTCAGGATTCCATAGCATAGAGTAATGGCAATGAAAGCGGTGCCAAACTGCATTCATTCTACAGTGTAGGTACACCCTATGTCTGTGCAATTCTGTCAGGACTTGTTTCAGTAAAACCATTTTAGGATTAAAACAGCAGGTTTACAGTTGAACATAAAGTAAAATTATGACTACAATTTATTTGCATAACTTTAAAGGAGATGAGGAAGACATTGAAATAGCTCAAGATTTTCCATACCTTGTCTCAATCATTAGTCAGAATGGAGACTGCAGTCAAGAAATCAGAAGACCTCTGAGGATGCCTGTCACAGTTGCAGGCGAAATGTCAGGAGAGAATGCTTCTAGAATATGGCCATACAGCCCAAAAAACCTACAGCAACCCAGTGATTCAAGCCATGAAAGCCTTTGACAATACACTGTTTTTGGATGCTTGCATTTTCTTTTTGCTGCTGTTACAATTTTAGATTCTTTCTCAGAAAGACCATTAGATATGAGTTCCACATGAGTTTTCCATTCTTCCAATGCTGTGCCAACAGAATCTCCATTGCTAACTCCTAGAAAGTAGTGTGACCTGCAACAAAGATGCTAGCCAGATATAGCCTGATTTGAGATGTTCCATTCCATTTCTAGAGCTCCCAGTGATGCAGTGGGTTAAACCGCTGAGCTACTGAACTTGTTGACCAAAAAATCACTGGTTCGAATCTGGGGAGCTGGGTGAACTCCTGCTTTTAGCCCCAGCTTCTGCCAAATTAGCAGTTCAAAAACTTGCAAATGTGAGTAGATCAATAGGCACCACTCCAGCGGGAAGGTAACAACGCTCCATACAGTCATGCCGGCCACATGACCTTGGAGGTGTCTATGGATAACGCCGGCTCTTCGGCTTAGAAATGGAGGTGAGCACCAACTCCCATGACTGGACTTAATGTCAGGGGAAGGCCTTTACCTTACCTATTCCATTTCTATTAACTCTTTTTCTCCCTTCTCTGATCATTCCTGCTATTTATTTCTTTTTTCTCTTCACCCCCCCCCCTTTGTCATTTTCCCAGAAATATTTTCTCCCCCTCTACTTCAGTAAACTTTGTGCTACTTGCCCAATATGCTTGTTGATGCCTCTTTCATGTTGCTGGCTGGCTGATACATGATGTTCCTGACTTGAAGAACAAACCTGTTATTAGTTGATAGGGCATCTTTTATGCAGAGCTTGACACACTGTGCTCTAGTGAAATTAGATTTTTTGATAGTCTGGTGACACTGCCTATAAAAAGGTTATTCACATAATATTTCTAGGAGATTGCATTGTAGCAATCTGAAAACAAAAAAAGCGTGTCATAGCATTCCTTTTAATGGCCTTGAGTCTCTTGCATGAAGTGTAACCCTTGGGTGTGCTTTTTAAAAATTCTCCCACCTCACATTGTATATGCAAGGTTTTTACTTTTTGCCATTTAACTCCATTGCCATTTACCATTGCCATTTAACTCCAGCTTCTACTTGTCCTTTTTGTTTATTTGTGCCTATTTACCTGTCAGCTGAGGATTGTACTGCATATTTAATGAAGCTTCACATAATACTTTCTATAATACCCTAGCTCTTTTTTGGGACACTATATATGATTAGTGTCATTGTATAGTTCATTCAATAAGCGACCCTGAATATAATTATGCCAACTAAGAATTTGGACTGGTCCAATGCTTTAGTATTGGAGGCAGTTATATCATCATCATCATCATCTTTATATTCTGCCCTTTTCCTAGTCTGGGACTCAAGGAGAATTGTTTTCAAATGTTGTAAAGGAAACAGCTAAAATAAACATTATAAAATGTCGTTCCTGTACTTTGACATATTTTATATATTCATATGATGTATCTCCTGTCCTGGTCTATTTCTCATGAATTTCCAATTATGACTAATTATGGCTTTTGAAATGCAGAGCAGGTATCTGGTAGTTTCTGATACGGGGCAGGAGTAGATTCCAACATCTGGATACATATTCCCTGTTCTGTACTTCTGGGAGGTCCTCCTGATGACATGCTGAAAGGGATTTCAACTTTTGTCATAGAAGTTGCCCTTTGCCCTTCCTTCATTACACCTGCAGTTACAAGGTAAAACATTCCCTCTGCTCTGAACTGCAGTAACATTATGATTTCTTTCCTTTTCTGGCCATCTACGAATACATTGTAGATACAGTGTAGCGCATTACCACTATGGCCTTTTCCCACTACAGGCAATCCCCAAATTATGAACCTATCACCACATTACTAACCTTAGATTCCAAATCCCCAAATTACATACCTATCACCACATTACTAACCTTAGATTCCAAAACACATGATCCTGTGTACGGACATTCCCCAAGATACGAACAAGATAGGTTCTGTAGGTTTGCTCTTAAGATGAATTTGTATGTAAGCAGGAACATGTAACTCCAGCCTACCTATCTATCCATCCATCTATCTGTCTATCTATCTATCTTTCTATCTATCTATCTATCTATCTATCTATCTATCTATCAGCTTTGGATAGCATAAGGAAGGATTAACACCTCTGTGGTGTTTGTTAAGGAAGGATTAACACCTCTGTGGTGGTCTGAGCCCCTGTTCAGAAGATTTCACCTCAATTTCTCTCCCTGTGACAATTGGATTTTGAAAATTTTGGTTAGTTGTGTAAGCAAGGATTAGTGATAAAGTTTCAGTTGAGACCTCTTTTCCTAATGATAACTCTTCCAGAAGTGAATTTCCTTTTCAGGGGGTAGATTTCTCTCATTTCCTGTTGTCTCACCCACCCACACACCCACACCCACACCCCTCCACTCTGGAGCCCCTGGTGTCACAATGGGTTAAATCCTTGCACTGGGAGGACTGCTGACCAATAGGTCAGCAGTTCAGATCTGGGGAGAACGGGTTGAGCTCCCTCTGTCAGCTCCAGCTCCCCATTCGAGAACCCCCTGTTGCACAATGGGTTAAATCCTTGTGCCAGCAGGACTGCTGACCAACAGATCAGTGGTTCGAATCTGGAGAGAGTGGTTTAAGCTCCCTCTGTCAGCTCCAGCTCCCCATTTGGGGACATGAGAGAAGCTTCCCACAAGGATGGTAAAACATTAAACATCCAGGTGTCCTCTGGGCAACATCCTTGCAGACGGCTAATTCTCTCACACCAGAAGTGACTTCCAAGTTGCTCCTGACATGAAAAAAAACACGTTCTTAACTGTGAGTCATTTGGAAGTTGGGAACTGCCTGTACAAATATCAATACATTTTACAAATAAATGTGCCAGGCCAGGAATAGGACCACCAGCATGTGAATGAAATGCTGAATACATGGAGGTGGCAACAACAGGTGAGAGCAAGCATGGTACAGTGGTTTGAGCATTGGACGATGACTCTGTAGACCAGGATTGAAATATCTGTTCAGCTATGGAAACTCCCTGGGTGATTTTGGACAAGTCACATTCTCTCAGCAAACCCTTTTGAACAAATCTTGCCAAGAAGATCCTTGACTTGAAGTAAACAACACAACCACAGCAGGGAAGGAAACCTTGCCCACACCGCAATTACCCATACTTCAAGCAGGAAAAGAAAAAAATAGATGAAATCCCAATATATTTATAACATGGCTAGATTCAGGGGTGGGGGAAAAAAGCCATTGCATTGTGTTATAAGGCATGAAATCTAGACACAGAATTGTAAAAGTAATTGGTTTTTAAAAGAAATACATAGCAATATATTTATATTTCTATAAATATTTACTATATTTATATGCCACAGTATATAAATATAGTAAATAAATAAATAAATATTGGCAATATATTAGTAACATTTATTTTCCATTATTGTGTGAAAATAATTTATTGTTGGCCCCCAAATAAGTCCACCTTCCTGCATCCAAAGATAATTTCAACGCAAGGTACAAGACATGTCAAACTAAAATTATTTTTACTGAAACTTAGGAATAATAGTTCAGGTTACATTGCAGGCTTCTTTTGCTAGTCTTGCACAGGTGAACAGAAAGAGACAAGTCATCATGGATTACACTCAGGAAATTGGTTTTCTTTCTAATTTTAAAACCAGCCTGATGCTTTTTATATTGCAGAGCACCATCACAGAAGAAAGGGTTCAGAAAGTGAAAGAGCAATTTATGTCAGCCTATGATGTAACTGCAGATGGACGCTTACAAATACAAGAGGTACCTGGATTTTCTTTTATTTTGAAGCTTTAGAAAAATGGGCCACATTTAGTTGAGGTTTTAAAGCTACACTATGGTGCAACCAATAACACTAGGTCATTCAAATTCAACCCATGTGCCTGAATATCCTTTTAATATGGAGACAGGAACATCTGTCACCCTGAGTTTCGCAGCTTGGCCTCCTCGCTTCCAGCTGCCTTTATCTCCAGACAGTGATCAGAAATAAAGGATTTCATCCCCATCTTCTCACATTACAGTAAAACCATGTACTTTTTTAAAGCTCCACTACCCGAGGGCTGTGTGTCATCAGGAGGGCTCGCTGATGGGAATGGAAACATTACCTGCCCCCCATTCTCAGTACTGTGAGCACCCAATAAGGCAGTGGTTGTCAACCTGTGGGTCCCCAGATGTTTTGGCCTTCAATTCCCAGAAATGCTAACAGCTGGTAAACTGGTTGGGATTTCTTGGAGTTGTAGGCCAAAAAACCTGGGTACCTACAGGTTGAGAACCACTGCCACATGGTTTCTTCTTTTGTGGAGGGAGACTCCTATGACACTATTGGGAACATTTAAGAAGCCTCATTGCATGGAAAGATATATAGTGCATATGCATTTCCTTACAAATCTCTGCTTTCAAGCACCTGTGTATGACTACAGAAGTGGGTGCAATCTGGTAGCCCCTGTTGTCATGTACCTTATGACTGGTATCGGTTTGAAGCTCACACTGGAAACAGTTCCCCTCAAACAAGAAAGAATGTGTTTGCTTTAGATTTTGCTGCAGTTCCGCTTTCTCTCTCTCTCTACCTGGCTCCTCACTTGTCCTTGTCTCATATACAAACTAAAGTGTAAACGTTGTTGTTGTAGCTTGCAAATATGATCTTGCCAGAGGATGAGAACTTCCTGCTGCTTTTCCGAAGAGAAACACCTCTGGACAACAGTGTGGAGTTCATGCGGGTGAGTAGCCCGTTGGTGCTGACTTTACTTCTAGCCATGCATATTGGATACTTATTAACTATGGTTGATATATTGGGCATACACTGAGGCTCAAACTATATAGAATGGCTGCAGACCTATTGCTGCTTAACCCAGGTGTGCTCCATCGGGTGGAAAGGAGGAATGAAGGAGCAGAGCTTTAGAACAAAAAGACAGCAGGGCTCTGAAGAACATAAATCAGATGCTTGATCTCACCCTGACCCATAATCTTATTTCTCTATCCATACCCCAGATTTTCCTCTCAGCTGTGCCCAATTCTATTATTAAAATTTGGCCTCAGAAGCAGGTCCACAGTTGTTAGATATCAAAGCATCAAGCCATGGGTGTCCGCATGTGTGCCTCTCACTTTACAGATCTTCCCTTTCCATGATTACTATCTCTTTCAAACCTCAGCACCATCTCCTGCTATTCTTTGTGACGCACGGTATGAGAGAGACAACCTCCTGTCACAGCTGAGTTGCTGGAAACTTTTGTGTTGCTGCACATTACATTCAAAATTTTTAAAAAATGATCAGCTTCTCTTTTTAAAAAAAACAAAGTAATGCTATTTCAAGATTGGTTTTATGTACTTTATAATGTTGGAAATATGAAGCTTAATGTTTAAAAGACTACGCATATGGGAGATTTTATTTCTCAGTTCACAATATAAGCATGTAGCTAACCATATCAATTGGACACTTCTTTTGGTTCTGGGGTCTAGATTGCCAACTCTCCACTATCCAGTGGGCTTAGATTATGCCAATGGGATAGCTCTCAGCTCCAAATCTCATCCCATCCTTTAATATCATCTGATTCATCACTGAGTATCCATTTCCATCTTCTCCATGTGAGGAGAGAACTGTAATCAAGAGTCCCATGCCTTTCTCTCTCTAGAGGAAATTTCTTATTAAATGTCTAGGGTTTAGAAACTGCAAGTTGCTTCTGGTGTGAGAGAATTGGCCATCTTCAAAGACATTGCCCAGGGGATGCCCAGATGTTTTGATGTTTTACCATCCTTGTGGGAGGCTTCTCTCATGTCCCCGCATGGGGAGCTGGAGCTGACAGAAGGAGCTCATCCATGCTTTCCCCAGATTTGAACCTCCGACCTGTTGATATTCAGTCCTGCCGGCACAAGTGTTTAACCCACTGCGCCACCGGGGGCTCCTAATCTCTATGTATCCCTTTGGCATAAAAAAAAATCCTATATTATCTCAAGTAGTTAGGAGCCCCTGGTGGTGCAAAGGGTTAAACCCTTGTGCCAGCACGACCGCTGACCGAAAGGTTGGCAGTTCAAATCCGGGGAGCAGGGTGAGCTCTTGTCTGTCAGCTGCAGCTTCTCATGTGGGGCCATGAGAGAAGCCTCCCACAGGATGATAACATATCCAGGCGTCTCCTGGGCAATGTCCTTGCTGACAGCCAGTTCTCTCACACCTGAAATGACTTGCAGTTTCTCAAGTCGCTCCTGACATGAAAAAAATCTCAAATAATTAAAAACAGGTCTGGAATTCTGTATGACCTTTCACACTATGTTGCATGCTCTTAACTAAGTTGAATACACTTAACTAAGTAGCGGAGGCCCTAAGAAACACAGTTAGTGAATTGCGAAGATGTGCAACAGGACACTGGGAAAAGAACTCAATTGCCATTGGGGTGCCCAATACACATGGTCCTGATGCATATTGGGGACCATAACACTTCAGTTTTGATTTGGTTGAGCACTAGTCCCTTTGTTGGCTCTGCTATGAAACAGTAGCTCTTTACTAAATGCACATGTTGTGTGCCTTCACAATTCTATTTTCTGAAAGTGCACATCCAGTTCTGGGTGTGCAATACTCCAACAAGAGTCCAGTCAGAATTATTTTCCCCATTCCCACTGACCTTGCTCATTTTGAAATTAGAATCTACTTCTTCACAAAATGTTATCCGTCTTCCAATACAACACAAAATCTGATATTGGCTATGCGGATGGAGATCTGAAGTACTTCCTAGGATATTGGAATGGCTCTAGAGAGGGACAATTTATCTAGAGATCCAATTACGCATCACACAATGAGAAATGGTAGGTGGCCTTGTATTTTAATCAGGAGATCAAAATGGAGAAGTTTTTCATTTAGTTTTCTTCATCTAGATTTGTCCTTCAAGTGCTTGTCTGCACCATCAACCAAAGCATCTACACATGAACTTTCCTTATCACAACTTCTCCTTTTCCAGTTCAGAACAAATACATAGTAATTTTAAACTTGAGATCTGTATCAAGGAAAACAAGCTTATGAGCATTGCAGTCTGAGGCGCCAAAGGCTCATAAATCAAGAAAATAGTTAAAAGCTCAAAATGAATGACTTCATATCCCTTGAGAGGGATGTTCAATATTTTGGTGTATTACAAAAGAGGTACAAATTTGCTTAATTTGCAAGTGTGTACAGAGGGGCATAGACTCTTCTTTTTCAGAAACGCAAGAACACAATGGCAGAAATTACTTTGTGAAATTAATTTCTGCAAATCTTTTCTGATCTTGGCATATCATTTCATTCTCAAGGTACAGCTACCTTAAATTTGCTACCTTAAAGATAAATTTGCTACCTTAAAGATAACAGAACAAATTAGACACGTAGGCATCGGACTAGTTGCATCATTCATGCAGCAAGTTTTTAAAAGCCTGCAGCCATGGTAACATCATGTCCAGATTAAAGGTGAAAAAAATCATTTTGATCTGATGAGAGGATTCTTTTAGGCAAAAATTGTCAATGATTCCTAGGCAGGTGCACTTTCCAAAAATAATAAAAGGTACTCTCTGGAAACATTAGAATATTGTCCCTGCTGATATGATGAGATGTATCTGTCTGCATTATATAGGCTGCAGTTGTATGGGAACAAGTCAGTGGGAATTCTGCCTGAACAGAAATGGCTAGGATTGTGCTCATAGAATCATAGAATCTTAGAGTTGGAAAAGACCTCATGGGCCATCCAGTCCAACCCCCTGCCAAGAAGCAGGAATATTGCATTCAAAGCACCACTGACAGATGGCCATCCAGCCTCTGTTTAAAAGCTTCCAAAGAAGGAGCCTCCACCACACTCCGGGGCAGAGAGTTCCACTGCTGAACGGCTCTCACAGTCAGGAAGTTCTTCCTCATGTTCAGATGGAATCTCCTTTCTTGTAGTTTGAAGCCATTGTTCCACGTCCTAGTCTCCAGGGAAGCAGAAAACAAGCTTGCTCCCTCCTCCTTGTGACTTCCTCTCACATGGCTATCACATCTCCTCTCAGCCTTCTCTTCTTCAGGTTAAACATGCCCAGCTCCTTAAGCCGCTTGTTCTCCAGACCCTTGATCATTTTAGTCGTCCTCCTCTGGACACATTCCAGCTTGTAAATATCTCTCTTCAATTGTGGTGCCCAGAATTGGACACAGTATTCCAGGTGTGGTCTAACCAAAGCAGAATAGAGGGGTAGCATTACCTCACTTTCATATACACTGTACACCTGAAGTAGTGATAGTGGCAATTGTCAAAGTACCTCTGTCAGGGGTATTTTGATTGTGCTTTTCCTGTATGGCAAGGGGTTGGACTAGATCAGGCATGGGCAAACCTTCTAACTTGGGGGCTGCATGGCAGGCTGGAATGGAGTGGGCAGGCTGGGAGGAGGGTCCTCCCCAAGTCCCTTCCCTACCCTTTCCTACCCTTCCTCTTCTCCTCTGGAGGCAGAAAGTGAAGGAAAGACAGGAAACATTTGGATCCCAAAAGGGTTGGCCTTGGTCAGGATGAGATGGTAGACAGGAGAGAAAAACTCTATCCACTAGAACCTGTATTGCCTACTCCTGATATATCCTAGAGCTGGAAGAGACCCCCAAGGGCCACCCAGTCCAACCTTCTGCCATACAAGAAGGCACAATCAAAGCACTCCTGATAGACAGCCTCTGTGGAAAAGCCTCCAGAGAAGGAGACTCTACTACACTCCCAGACAGCTTAGGCCACTCTCAGGAAGTTCTTCCTAATCCTTTCAGTCAAATCTCTTTCCCTGCCATTGAAATCATTGCTCCCTTGTGCCCTGGTCTCTAGAGCAGGGGAAAGTCAGTTTTCCCCCTCTTCCTCCTCAATGGGACACCCTTTTAAATCTTGAAACATGTTCCCTATCAGCTTTCTCTTCTTCTAGCTAAACATCCCCCAGGAGGAAAAGAGGAAGGAAAAAGAGAAGGATGGAAGGGAGGGAGGAAAGAGGGGGAAAAGGAAGGATGAAGGGGTGGAATGGAAGGAGTGAGGGAGAAAGAGGGAGGTAAGGAAGGAAGGGAAGGAGGAAAGAAAGAGAGAAGGAAAGGAGGATAGGATGGTGAGACAGGGACGGAGCTGAAAAAAGAGCCCAAGGGGCCGCATCCAGCCCCCAGGCCTGGGTTTCCCCATTCCTGGACTAAATGGACCATGTGGTCGCTTCCAACTGTTACTATTCTATAATTCTAAGATTTAGATATAATTCTAAAAATACAATCTTGGCAAGTCTGCAATGCCACCTTCCTTTACTAATTGAAAATGGATGCCCACTGCTGTGTAACCTGACATGGCTGTATGCCAAAAGAGCCACCAGAATCAGAGGGAAGTGTACATGAAAGATTTCTGTTCAGAAGCACCAGATTCAAGAGTAGAGACTTGGCTTAATGATGGATATTATCCTCCTTCCAATAAATAGCTTTTTTACGATACTCCATGACTAAACAATAAAAAGACTCCGCTCATCATTCTGTCCTTAAGTCAAGGCATATAGTCAACTGAATTGTTTTTTTTCACCCAAGGTAAAAAAAACTCACGAATTTGTTTTGCCCCAAGTCCTGTGGGAAGGGCAATATTGTGCCCTCTCCTCTCCCTCCATACTTTGCATTCAGGCCCATCTACACTGGCCATTTAATGCAGTTTTAAAATAGCTTCAAACTGTGGTGGCCAGAGAACAACTCCAACAAAAGTACATGAAGGAAAGGTTCTTAATATGCATCAGTGCTCTGTGGTTTGTATAATCATCACCTGGGCCTCAAACCGATTCCAGGAGTCCCTATATAATAATCTGCACAGCAAAACAGCTTTGTTCAATATTGGTCTGAAAATGCATTCAATAGTCAGTATAGATGTGGTTTCAGCTTTCAGTAATCGAAGTAGGCTGGGGACAAAGGGGAATGTGAGAGGAGAATAGAGAAATAGGAGCATTTTAAAAGATATTGAACAAGTGGAAAACCTGAAGACTGTTCTTGTCAAACTAGGACAATTGGAGAGCATGCAATAGCCATGCCCAGGATTCAGCTAAACACTGGTGGAATAGATACTCTTGAGCTTATTCTCAAAGAAAACTGTGATATGTTAAAATTACTTCTTAAAAATCTGTTTTCAAACAATCATATTTAACTAATTTCCCCCCCTGCAGATCTGGCGACAATATGATGCGGATTGCAGTGGTTTTATTTCTGCTGGTGAGCTCAGAGTAAGTTCTCTAGATACTCTTCATTGCACTTTATTGATACACTTTCATAGTCAATCAACAATCTTTGCTCTTAACATTGAGCCCTTGGGTGAACCAGATTTTGACTATTTCATGTCATTACTTCATGCAAATCTGAAATAGTAAAAGCTGCTTTTGTGCTTCTTTCTTAATAACAGAACTTTCTCCAAGATCTCTTTCAGCAACATCAGAAAACAATTTCTAAGGCAAAGCTGCAGGAATATACTGATACCATGGTAAGCATTATTATTATAGGATTACTGTATAAGATGGATTTGTGAGCCAAAGAATCTTGGAAGAGTGTTCATGGTTAAAAGTCTGGCCTTCACCAACCCAAATAGCCAATCTGTTGCTGCAAACAAAAGTTCAGTGCAAAGAGAAACATTGGTAAGTGCCAATGTTGTGTTTTGCCAATATGGAAACATAACTAACCCAATTGTCAAGGCACAGTTACATAAGGCTTAGTGATTATTTAAAGAGGGACAGAGCATAGATTTTTAATATGTTAGGATGCTTTGAATTGTCATCATTTTATATATGATTTTAAATTATATGAAAATAAGTTATGTGTGTGGAGTATCTAGAGATCTCCAAGACTGCTGGAGTAGAATGAGGTACAGACTCTTAGCTGTTGTTGACCACTGCAAAAATACTATTATGGGAATTTAAAAAAGAAATAGTTTACTCCAGTTTTTTCCTGAGCACCTGAGTTTTTGATGCAACTTTCAAAACACTAACYGCACACACTATGAAGGATATTTTAGCAGTGAGACCCARTGAGTTCAGTAGGATTTACTCCCAAGTCAATCCATATTATTTTGCTCTGTTATTGTTTTATTACATTTATTATTTCACTCTATTTATTAATGTTATTAATGTTATTATTACATTTATTATTTCACTCTATTTATTAATGTTATTAATGTTATTATTACATTTATTATTTCACTCTATTAATGATATTAATGTTATTATTACATTTATTATTTTACTCTATTACTGTTATTATTACATCTGGGGAGAAAGAGTCCTATAAACCACATTTTGAAAGAGGGAAATGGATGGCAGTTATAACAAAAGAACTGAGTGGCTTATTAGTGGTATAACTTCTGAAGTGCAGGTACATATCACAAGAGGCGTCACAAGCATATCCATAAAGTAAGTAAAAAATGCAAGCAACAAGTTAGCTCTATTGTTTCTGTTCCTATCAATAGAGACATTTTTTACCTTGTGGTCAGCGCTCTTTAGTTTTACCTAGTTTGGGCCCCAGACATTATTGAATTACAGTTCCTATCACTTTTGATTATATCCACCATGCAGACTGGTGATAATGGGAATTGCAACCAACAGCATGTGGCTATGAGGTTGGGGAAAAGTTAAAGGGCATTTTAATGTCAGGCATTATCTCCACAAGCCTTGTGCCTAAATTCAAACCTTGCACTCCTGACTAAGCAGAACAATCTACAGCCTTCCGGATGTTACTGTATCACAACTTTCATCAACTTTAGTCATGATGCCTAATGATGAGGAATACAGGAGTTGTGGTCCAGCATCTGGAGGGCCACATAAAATGACATGGCAGGCCAGATTCACCCCGTGAGCCTTGAATTTGACACATGTGATCTAGAATTTATATTCTACTAGCTGTCCCCTGCCACGTGTTGCTGTGGCCCAGTCTGTGTATATGTGTTTTGTGTGTGTATATGTGTATGTATATTTTTGGGTATGTGTGTATATATGTGTGTTTACGTGTGTGTATGTGTGTATGGTTTTGAAAATGCATTGTAATGTATGTTTTTATTATTATTATTATTATTTTATTTATTTATTTGCTTTTTAAGTCTTTTCTGTGTTTTTCACTGTCTTTATGAGTGATGATCACTTGTTGGCTTGATACATGTATTATCTGCAAATCTGGTGTCAATTCGTCCAGTGATTTTTGAGTTATGTTAATCCCACAAACTAACATTGCATTTTTATTTATATAGACTAGCCGTCCCCTGCCATGCATTCCTGTGGCCCAGTCTGTGTAGATGTGTTTTGCGTGTGTGTATATGTATATACATGTGTGTTTGTGTATATTTGTGTTTTTGTGCATGAGTTGTAATGCATTTTTTGTTTCTTAGCTTTTTAAGTCCCTTCTGCTTTGTTTTATGAGTTTTTATGAGTGATGGTCACTCATTGGCCTGATAGGTGTATTGTGTCCAAATTTCATGTCAATTCGTCCAGTGGTTTTTGAGTTAATCCCACAAATGAACATTACTTTTTTATTTATATAGATTGTCTGTGTTTTAACGGAGAGATTTAATTAAATGCATCTATAAAGCTGCTGACTATAACCAATACTTTAATGCAAAAATTCATTTTAAAAAGTCACAACTGTTATGGTGCAAGATCTCTTAGAAAGGTATCCAGATCCCTTGAAAGCTTCATTTGGGCAAATTTACTCTGCTGAACTTCCTAAGAGTTCTTCTTTCCACCTCCTGTACTGGCCCTATAACAATAGTTCTATAAATAGAGGTCCATAAATCCGACCTCATTTTTAAAATAGATTTTCCCCCCAGAACTCTTCAGATAAAGTAGACTGAATGTCCACAAGGCCATAAGTCCCCAGTATGTGTTTTTAAAGCTTTCTGCCATTCAGAAAGCTACGTTTTGTCAATGCCACATGGAAGGAAAGCTCATTACCGGTTTATTCATCTGCAAATCACATTACCTAGGCTGCCAAAATAATCATATCCGAACTAAGGTTATTATTATTCATTGGCTAGAATAGCAGGTCATGATAATATCTGTCAGGCTGTCAGCAGTGGCTTTTCATTTGAACTACACAATTGCTCCCATTGAATAAAACAGCACCTTTGTCTACACGGTATAGCAGTCTGCTTTGGGCATATTAGAAAAAAAAACCTGTGGGCTGGCTTTGTACAGGTTTTGCCTGGATTAAGTCTCCATTCCCTACATTTTAGAATTGTTGCTTTTGTTCCCTCTTTCTGGATGCTTCAGGAGTCATTTTGCTTATTGAATCCCTGGCATGTGGAGCAGGTTCTTATTGATGAGTTCCAGTTCAAATTAAACTATGCAGCTGGCACTATCAATGTGGTTTCTGTATGCAGAACCTAAACCACAGTGACATGGGAAAATGCTAAGTGGAAGCAGCTCCAATGCAAACAATTCTTCTTATATTGGCTTAATTTGAATGTAACCTTAAACCATTATATAGCATGGCAAAAGGGGATGCTGCCCATCCTTCTTCTAATAACAGGGTTGCCATAGCTCAGAAACAACTTGAAGGCACTCAGCATCACCAACAATAATACTATGAGATTGTGGCTATTAAGCGAGAATAACTATTCTGCAAAAGTGTATGCAAATGAGTGTGTTTGTGTATGCTTTGAAGTCACTGGTGGGGCAGTAGGTTAAACCCTTGTGCTGGCAGGACTGAAGACCGACAGGTAGGAGGTCCAAATCCAGGGAGAGCGCGGATGAGCTCCTTCTATCAGCTCCAGCTCCCATGTGGGGACATGAGAGAAGCCTCCCACAAGGATGGCAAGACATCAAAACATCCTGGCATCCCCTGGGCAATGGCCAATTTTCTCACACAAGCAGTGACTTGCAGTTTCTCAAGTCGCTCCTGACACACACACACACACGCACACCAAAACCTGAACTTATGGTGAGCCCACTAATTCAGTAATGTTTTCTTGGGCAAGGTGAACTTAGGGGTGGTTTTGCCTGTTCTTTCCTATCTAATATAGCCTAACAGCAAAACAAAAAAATATTCTGTTAGAGAAATCAATTAATACAAATGTCTGTCTGACAATCTGCATTCTTGAAATGCTACCATATTTCATAGCATAATAGTTGTCATCATGTAATAGTGGAACGATCAGCTCACATGAAGAACCTGATGTTTAAAAGATAGCTGCATGAGGCATTGTGCAAAATATTATTATGAATAGTACTATTTTCCCCAGAGCATTATAATAACTGAAAGGATAGCATTCATAAAAGAAAGGTTAAACACTGGCCCAGGATTGAATATTTTAGAACTGCAGCCCATTTGTGTGATATGCCAAATCATCTACCTACACTTAAAAATTAAATCCAGTTTCTTAACACCCTTTTACCATGAATTATTCATGCTTTTTATTCAATCTATCTCTTCCCCAGCCTTCTCTTCTTTCTGAAAAAAATGGTTGATTTTCTCATACTCTGCAATAGTAACGAGGAAAGGAGGGAGAATTGCAAAGAGAATCAGCCAGGAAGGAAGCGACCAGAATATAATTAAGCAAAATCTGAATATATTGCCGAGAGAGGGAAAAGCCTCTTTAAGGCATCAGGATGAGTACTTGGCACTAAGAGCCTGAAATTTCCTACCCAAAAGGCATTCCTGATGATGCAGAGGTTTGCCAAAATCAAATTCACTCATGAGGCTTAACCATTGGATGGAAAGTTGCTTTTTGAAAGTCGGTAGTTATAATTGTAGCTCCAAGCCACTCAAACATCCTTGGTGAGATTAGTTAATTGTCAAACTAGTCAATTCTTGTTGCAATTTCAATAAGGTAACTACTTTGCTTCCCTGTTTCCCCACAGCAACAAAAATAGGTACCTTTGCTTTTACAAGTCACCAATTGACTGATAGTGACCCCATAAATTTCATAAGGTTTTCTTAGGCTGGATCTACACTGCCCTATATTCCAAGATCTGATCCCAGATTATCTGGCATTGTAGGCTCATATAATCAAGTTAAAAGCAGATAATCTGGAATGAGATCCTGGAATGTAGCACATTTTTTTTCATGTCAGGAGTGACTTGAGAAACTGCAAATTGCTTCTGGTGTGAGAGAATTGGCCATCTGCAAGAGCATTACCCAGGGGACACCCGGATGTTTTGCCATCCTGTGGGAGGCTTTTCTCAAGTCCTCACATGGGAAGCTGGAGCTGACAGGTGGGAGCTCATGCCGCTCACTGGATTCAAACCGTCGACCTTTTGGTCAGCAGTCCTGCCAGCACAAAGGTTTAACCCATTGCGCCACTGGGGGTGCAGTGTAGATCCAGCCTTAGACAAAAAAATGCTCAGAAGATTTTGCTTATTGCATTGATATCCATTAAAATGCACTTAAATCATATGCTCTTCTTTCTGCATCACTTAATAAGGCAAAAAACCCCCCTTAATTATAAAAGTAGCAAAAGAAGTTACAATTTCACTGCAAAACAGTAGCATTATCACTCATTAACTTGCAGTGGCAATATAATGTAGATATAATTCGATATTGAAGGGAGAAATTAATAAAATTAACAATTTGCTTGCAGATAGCCATTTCCAGTCGACAAGATTAGCAAAATCAGGTCTCTGTTTAACTTGTGGATAGAGAGGAAAGGAACATGGAAATCGTTCCTCAGTATAGTCTTTTTTTTCCAGTAAGAAACCTGTGGGCATTAGCAAGGAAATTATCTTTTCCAAAACAGCTTTCTGCAACTTGCAGCTCTTCTTACAACTTCCTTTAGCATGGGCTAGCATAAGAGTTCAACAGTCAACAAAAATATTTCATGAAAAGTAGGGGTGTGCGAAATGGCACATAATTCTGTTCTGTTTTCATTCTGTTTTCAGGTTCCCCCCACCCCCCACCCCCAGATCTATTTTAGGGAAGATTCCTTCTAAAACAGAAACGGAAATCAGGGTTCCAAATTATGAATCTGAACGACCCCCTTCCTACTCTCCCAGAACCTTCCCGAAAACAGAATGGATTCGCAAACCCTTAAAAAGTGCTTAAGGAGAATAACCCCACCCCTCAAAGAAGCATTTATTTTGCTTCATTTCATTAGAAGGCAGCCTGTCATGCCCCAAAGGCCTTTTGTCTTATCAATTTGAAGATGCACTCAAAATATTCCCATCAGTGAGCAGTGTATGAGTGGCAGTGGGAGATTTGGAAACTCGCATTTGAAAAGACAGCTAGGGAAGGAAAGAGGCATATCATCCTCCCATACATATTCAAACCCTATTTCATTTATATCTCAACCATTCCCCAAAAGTGGAGTCAACACTGGTTACAAAAAGCAAGCTATCTTCTTGGAAGTGCTGTGCCGCACTGCCCAAATTGTTACTGCAAGCCTTCACGTTCTTCCTGATTTATGGTGACCCTAAAGTAAATCTGACACAGAATTTTCATGGCAAGATGGGGTTTGCCTTTACTTTTCTTAGAGGTTGAGTGTGACTTACCTAAGGTAAGCAAGTGGATTTTCATGGCTGAGCAGAGATTTGAACCCTGGTCTCCAGAGTCCTTGTCTAATGCTGTTCACTGGCCAAATATCCTTAAAGGAATCTGAGAAGGGCTTCATAGTGCCTCACCAGTCCATCCTGCATTACTTCAAGCAACACAGGCAGTATTTCTCTGAACAGTTTTATTATGTTTCTGTATCAGATCAATTATAATTTACATTTTTACAAAATCTCTTACATTTTAGATGAATCTCTTTGACAAAAACAAGGACGGACGACTGGATTTGAATGACCTGGCAAGGTAAACTTGAATGGTTCATCAGCTTCATTACAATGAAATCATTGCATCTTGTTTCACTTGTTTCCCTGCATCCTAGAAGCTACACCTGTTGAATTTTGGTCTTATATCTCCTAAGGACTGACTCTTCAGTCTTGAAAACAAATGATGAGAACCCTTTTCCATGTCACAAGCCACAGTATCCAAAAATAGCTAAGAGCACTTCATTTCCTTACTCCCTATTTATGAAATCTATTGAAGAGAACTGTGGAGTTGATACTTGATAAAATGATGAGCTTGTTCTTTCCATTTAGGATCTTGGCTCTTCAGGAAAATTTTCTCTTTCAGTTTAAACTAGATGTAAGTACAGTAATTTTCAGTGCACTTAGTTGTTTTCTCATCTCTATTTTCTGAATGCATCTTCTTAAACCCTATTCTTTTTCCCCCTCACCAGGCTTGTAGCGCAGAAGAAAGGAAGAGAGATTTTGAGAAAATCTTTGCACACTATGATGTTGTAAGTTTGGGTTGGTGTTACTAATTAGTTCTAGGGATTAGAACATTGCTTTTTTAAAAGGAATATGTTACAACTATTCTTTCCTTTCCTCCAATTCAGCAAGAGCTAAACTATGTATATTAGACACACACACACACACACATATATGCATACACTGTGTATACTTGAGTATAAGCCAAACTGAATATAAGCCAAGGCACCTAATTTTACCACAAAAAACTGGGAAAATGTATTGACTCAAGAATAAGCTGAGAGCAGGAAATGCAGCAGCTACTGGTAAATTTCAAAATAAAAATATACCAATAAAATTACATTAATTGATGCATCAGTAGGTTAAATGTTTCTGAATATTTACATAAAGCTGTAATTTAAGATAAGGCTACTCCAAGCCCCAGGGGAGTGACGGCATATAAGTTTGAATTATAAATAAATAAATAAATAAATAAATAAATAAAATTACGATTAAACCATTATTCTAACCTTCTTCAGTGTAAATGTGCTTATGTGTCCTTCCATCCAGCAATAATGAGAGTAAAATAATAAATGTAATAAAAATAACAATAATAGAGAAAAATAATGGAAATGTAATAACAGTAATGATATAGTACAATAATACATGTAATAATAACAACAGAAACAACAGCAACAACAATAACAGAGTGAAATAATAAATAACTTTGACTCCATTATAAGCCAAGGGGACTTTTTCAGCCTAAAAAAATAACTGAAAAACTGGGCTTATACTCAAGTATATACTGTATCTGTCTGTCTGTCTGTCTGTTTCAGAATTATATGTACAAATGATTGGCATAACACATTTATGCATTGAGGTCACATACCCCTATAACTAAAAAGGTAATTAAATGTTACACTAAAATGAACTTACCCTTTGTTATAATATAACCATCTTGCAACACATTTATTTTATTTATTTCCGTCACTTTTACCCCGCCCTTCTCACCCCCGGGGGGGGACTCAGGGCGGCTTACAGAGGAAGGCACAATTCGATGCCTTTGTCACATACACATACATATATAAGCAAATTAAACAATTACACATTAAAGATTAAAAACATCACTACACAACAATACAGTAACACAGTAGTAGACTAATCCTGAGCTCAGCGTTCGGAATTTCATCAATCCGTTCCGTCTCGTCAAATTCCAGCTCGTCATCAGGTCTTTTTTTTTTTAGCTGCCATGATGTCCAAATGCCTGGTCCCATATCCAGGTTTTCAACTTTTTCCTAAATGAAAGAAGGGACGTTGCCGATCTAATCTCCCCGGGGAGTGAGTTCCACAGGTGGGGGGCCACCACCGAGAAGGCCCTGCTCCTCGTCCCCGCCAATCTCACTTGTGATAAATCTCACTTGTGATAAACACAGGCTTTAGTTATTGCAAAAAGATTGAGCAGTTCCCTTTTTGAAGGCAATACTTTATTTGAAAGCCTCTCCGGAAAAAGTCCAGCTTAAAGAGTCATAAGAAAAAGAAAAAGATCTTGGAGTCCTCATGGACAACAAGTTAAACATGAGCCAACAATGTCATGCAGCAGCTTTGAAAGCCAATGGGATTTTGGCCTGAATAAATAGGAGCCTAGTATCGAGATCCAGGGAAGTCATGCTATCCCTCTAGTCTGCCTTGGTCAGACCACACCTGGAATACTGTGTCCAATTCTGGGCACCACAACTGAAGGGAGATGTCTGCAAGCTGTAATGTGTCCAGAGGAGGGCAACTAAAATGATCAAGGGTCTGGAGAACAAGCCCTATGAGGAGTAGCTTAAAGAGCTGGGCATGTTTAGCTGCAGAAGAGAAGGCTGAGAGGAGACACAATGGCCATGTATAAATATGTGAGGGGAAGTCATAGGGAGGAGAGAGCAGACTTGTTTTCTGCTGCCCTGGAGACTAGGACACGAAACAATGGCTTCAAATTGCAGGAAAGGAGATTCAATCTAAACATTAGGAAGAACTTCCTAACTGTGAGAGCTGTTCAGCAGTGGAACTTCCTGCCCTAGGATGTGGTTGAGTCTCCTTCTTTGGAGGCTTTAAAACAGAGGCTATTGTTTGGAGGTGTATTGAATGTGATTTCCTGCTTCCTGGCAGGGGGTTGGACTGTATGGCCCACTAGATCTCTTCCAACTCTATGATACCATGAAGAAGGCACAGTTGCGGTTGTGTGTCTTCAAGTAATTTCTGGTTTATGCAAAACTCTGATTTTTCTGTATTCCAGAGTAAGACGGGTGCGCTGGAAGGCCCAGAGGTGGATGGATTTGTAAAAGACATGATGGAGCTTGTCAAGGTGACTTACTAAAGATTTGATTCAAGTTTTGTTTCCTCCAGTTTTTCTGAGAAGCATTGCCTTGAGCCATAGTATTCAAAAGTACCTCAAAGCCTACCCGCTGCCAGGATGTTAGTTCAACAGCTTAAAGGAACACATCATAGAACAAATAATTTAATTGATTCTCCCATGTGTATATGTAAAGCCAAAAAGGATATGAAATTTCTCTGGCCTAATTGTGTTCCTTGACAAACTAATAACCTTGATTTTTAAAAGTTATAATATGGAGTTGCCTTTCATTGAATGGGATCCAGTTAGTGGCAGACACACATAAATAAATGGCAGGACGGCAACCTGTTTCAAAGGTAAATCACTGTTCTTAAGGATTCCAACTGTAACAATTCACTTTTTTATCAGAAAAATACAAAATGAAAATATGGAGGGTTCAGACATTTTGCAAAAAAATTCATGTAATACAAATACCCTCAATTTGTTTTGTCCCCAATATTCTCTTGTGTCCGTTAGTTTCGCACAATGCCTGGTAAAGTCTGGGGAAATTATGTAGGATTCACAAAAGCGACTAGGCTGCCATCACTTGCCATATCAACAAAAACAAAGAGCAAATAGCAGCCCCACCAACAACATGAGGAAAAAAGAGGGCCATGTTGATGCAGTACAACTCATGGCCAACACCATTCCTGAGAAAATCTTGTGAGACTTCTTCATGCCCTTCAAAAAGGGCAGAGACAAATGCAAGATACTCCTTTTTTAAAAGGCATGAATAAATAAATGCAAAGGTACAGACTCGGGAATGCCTGGCTCGATAGCAGTACATGTGAAAAAGATCTTTGAGGCCTCATGGACAACAAGTTAAAGATGAGCCAACAATGTCATGTGGCAGCTAAAAAAGCCAGTGGGATTTTGCACTGCATAAATAGCAGTATAGTGTCTAGATCCAAGGAAGTCATGCTGCCCCTCTATTCTGCTTTTGTCAGACCACATCTGGAATACTGTGTCCAATTCTGTGCACCGCAGTTTAAGGAAGATGTTGACAAGCTGGAATGTGTCCAGAGGAGGGCAACTAAAATGATCAAGGGTCTGGAGAACAAGCCCTATGAGGAGCAGCTTAAAGAGATGGATATGTTTAGCCTGAAGAAGAGAAGGCTGAGAGGAGACATGATAAATATGTGAGGGGAAGTCATAGGGAGAAGGGAGGAGGCTTATTTTCTGCTGCCTTGAAGGCAGGACATGCATTCAAACTACAGGAAAGGAGATTCCATCTGAACATTAGGAAGAACTTCCTAACTGTGAGAACTGTTCAGCAGCTGAACTCTCTGCCCCGGAGTGTGGTGGAGGCTCTTTCTTCAGAGGCTTTTAAACAGAGGCTGGATCACGATCTGGACACAGACATGTGTTTTTCATCTTAAGAACAAACAAACATCCCAAGCTCTGAGGATTACCTGGGAAGGTATCCCACTGGAGCATTGCAGCACACCCAAATACCTGGGAGTTACCCTAGACCATTCTCTGACCTAAAGAAGCACTGTCTGAATATCAAGCAAAAAGTGGACACTAGAAACAATATCACACGAAAGCTGACTGGCACAACCAGACACAGTGAAGACATCTGCCCTTGCTCTATGCTACTCTGCTGCTGAGTATGCATGCCCAGTGTGGAACACATCTCACCATGCTAAAACAGTGGATGTGGCTCTTAATGAGACATGCCGCATTATCACGGGGTGTCTGTGCCCTACACCACTGGAGAAATTACACTGTTTAGCCGGTATTGCACCACCTGACATTTGCCTGGGAGTAGCAGCCAATAGTGAAAGGACCAAGGCAGTGACATCTCCGGCCCACCCCCTGTTTGGGTATCAGCCAGCATGCCAACAACTTAAATCAAGAAATAGTTTTCTAAGATCTACAGAGACATGCGCTGGAACACCTCAGCAAGCAAGAGTCCAAAAGTGGCAGGCTCAAACCTAGAACCTCAATCAATGGCTGATACCAAATGAGAGACTTCTTCCTGGGTGCACAGAAAACCGGCCGACTTGGAAAGTGCTGAACAGACTGCACCACAAGATGCAGAGCCAACCTTAAGAAATGGGCCCACAAAATGGAATCCATGACATGAGAATGTGGAGAAGAGCAAACCAGAGATCACCTATTGCAATGCAGACTGAGTCCTGCCACGTGCACAATGGAGGATCTTCTTGCAGGAACACCAGAGGTACACCAAATGGCCAGCTACTGGTCAAAGGACATTTAATAGAATACCAACTTGGTGGTTTGTTTGTTTGTTTGTTTGTTTGTTTTTAAGGCAATACAACTGTTTTGGTTTGCTCCTGACACAATAAATACATAGGGGTACTTTGAATGTGATTTTATTGCCTCTTGGCAGAGGGTTGGACTGGATGGCCCATGAGGTCTCTTCCAACTCTATGATTCTATAAAACAGAAGATGGTTCCCTTCCCTTATTTCCATGTTACTATTCAGAAGTATGTTAGGGAATTTTGAGGGGCCATTTAGAATTACCGCATATCAATGTAAATTTAGAAACATCGCATTATTAACTTAAAATCTTGCCCTCACCCTGACTTGTATGTCAGATGTGCCCAGAATCTAAGATTACTCAACTCTACTGCTGTTAAGATGATATCTTTTGCCCTCCAAAAATGCCGTACATCTCTTTTTCTCCCTTCTTTTGTAGCCCAGCATTAGCGGCCCTGACCTAGACAAGTTCCGGGAGATCCTTCTTCGCCATTGTGATGTGAATAAGGATGGGAAAATTCAAAAATCTGAGCTTGCCTTGTGCCTGGGAATTAAACCTTCCCCATAGACCTGAATGTACTTCTCCTGTGGTTTGCCAATTATTGTCTTTTGTGGAAGCCTGCTGGTAACTGGTAGAATATTATCAGTGCTGTGTTAATGATCTCTGTTGTGCTGAACATAGAAGACAGAGGGGACTCGCTGTGGATATGAATATTCATGTGCAGGATACAGCTAAATTTAAAAAGCAAAAAAATCAAGATGTGAAGAGCGGTATCATGCTCCCTGCTGCTCCAGGAGAGATGTTGTCTGCAGGATTTCTTACACATTCTAAAAGCATGTATCTACACATTTAGTCTATTACAAACACATGCAGCTATTGTATCAAGAGTGCTATTTCGGGTTACAATACAACCTCCGTATCCACATGCCATATATTTCTGGGCTTTGTGTGAATACACAAAACTGCAGAAAATAGTGAACCCTATTATTTTCAAAGGGAAAAGTGATGAAGATATTGAGAAAATGGTACAGTGAATAAGTGAAACTTTGGGTAAATGAAATCGCATACATTGGTTCTGTGGCTACAGAGGCTTTAAATATGACTGCATTCTATCCCTTAGCCTACAATCACAAAGCAACACCACTGTATTACTTTGCAACCTTGTTTATATTGGCCTTGTCCACATGTTAGTGGCCCCAAGTCCCTTCAAGGAGATGGAAGCGGGATATAAGAATTAAGTTATTATTTTTTATTATTATTATTTGTGAAGCCATGGTTTTTCCTTCTTTACTTCAGTTCCCCCTGTTTATATGCCTTCTCAATAGTGTAGACTTTTCTTTGTATTCGTTTCTGAGTGGAGCTTAAAACAACCCCTCAGAGGCCAAACTTAGTTAATCTCTTCCTTTTCCCTGCACAGAGCTCCTGGCTGGATTCTTCCTTCCTTCTAAAGTAAAGCCTTAGAGGCCTGGATAGTGTCTGGAATCCTAGCCTAGCAGTCTAAACAGGCATTCTTAGTGCTTTCTCCTGCTGGTGCATTTAGCAGTATTTTATACCAGTAGTAAAAAGGACAACAGAAGCTTTTGGCCAGCCAAGCTTCTCAGGAAGGAAGATTAAGGCAGATTATAACCATCGCTTTGGCACCAGAGGCAAAAGAGACTTTCAAAGCCCCCAGAAAGATGCCTGCAACCAGCAAGTTCTCCTTTTGTAATGTATTGTTTTAAGTTATTCTATGATAGTCCCAGGTGGAGTTAACCCTTTATTCATCTTGCTTCAGTAAACACATTTGGTTATCTTTTCACCTTGCCTCAAAGTGCCTCTGTCTGCTAAGGGTCTAAATCTTAACAAAAGGTATCAGACAGCCCTCGAGTAAAGCCAGACAATATAGTTTTCCCAAAGGTTTGGGTATGCCATCACATTATTATTATTGAATATTCCATGTGAGTAACATTGGTGTGACAACAAATTCATTACATTATTTTTCTCTTTTACAAAAGCTTAACAAGAGGAAGCTCAGTGCATTTGCATTTTTTTTAAAAACAGCACTTTAAAAAGGGAGGAAAGCCTCTGTCTCCATTAATGACAATCTGACACTCGTCTGCACCCAAAAACAGTGGATGTGCTATATTGGACTGATCTGGACCTAAATCTTATTATTTGTCTCAGCAGGAGTAGATCTAGCAAATCAGCAGGATTTATCTATGTATTGATGCACTGTTTGCTAACTAGGTTTGCTCTAGCTAGGAGTGATCACCAGGGTCCCATTACAATCCAGTTACTTCCCTTCTGATGCAACCCTCTGTCTTCTATGTGTCAACCTGTAGATTGACTTTGGCAAGGCTTCCACTCTTGTCTTTTTCAACTCTGGATGTCTCAGTACGAGACTATCAATTCTTAATGTATCTTCCTTTTCCTTGTCATGTGGTTTTAAGAATACCACTGCCCTTTTCTCTGTGGCTTTTGCAATCTTAATTTATATTTTGTATGCAATGTACATCCAATATTATATGCATAAACCATAAAAAAGTAGTTTGCAGCTATTCTGAGTCTCAGTTTTCAATGAAGCAATTGCCAGTGTCACAGACCTTCTTGACTGTATCCCACAAATTGCATTGCAAGACGTTTAGAAGGAAACATCAATGTGCTCCAATAGTCTGTCTGTATTTCAGGATGTGAACACTGTCATGATCCTCTGTCTCCTCCCTCTCTCTCTATGTATCATTAGGATTGCATATTATTGTTTCTTACATAGTTACCAGTTATTGAGATTATATTTATGAGTCTAGATATTTCAACACTCTTGTGTTTTATTCACGTGCCCTATGATGCATGTGATGTTTCAGGATGTAATGGGCAGAATATCAGTCTCATGTGCTTACCTTTTTTCATCTGGGTGTCTTGCCATAGTCAAGTAAGGATAGACATATAATTATTTTCCTCCATTTTTAAAAAAGTAGGAATCCCCAAAAGATACTATTATGCCATTTCCTCTTCTGCTGATAATTTTATGAATACTGATGTCCTCCCTTTGTCAGACGCATGACAGTATTGCATACCAAATGTCATGCCAGACAGCCAGAAGCCAAACAGGTATATCAGTGAATTAAATCAAAAACAATTTAGCCAGTATAGCAGGACAAGAAAGGAAATGTCATGCTTCAAATGGGAAAACAATTTCACTTTCTCCCGCATTTTATTTTTAAAATAATGGGAAACTCTCAGAAAAAAGTGACAACTCTAGTTCAGAACCAACAGGGAACACACACTGATATTGAACATTGCTTCTTGAACTATGAGTCCCAACCCTAAATGGGGTCGCCTTTGCTCAGTGTTGAGGGTCACAAAATTTGACAATAAAAGATTTCTGAAAACCACATATTTACACTAACCTGTTAGCAATAACATGCAGTGTTTACTGTGGACTCTGCAGAAAATGCTTTAGCTGTACTCCACAGAAAGGAAAATCAGCCTGTTTAGCATGCCTTGCAAATGCTGATATATTATCATTGATGTTTGATTTTTAGACCTCTTTTGTATACCTACTAGCTTAGGTACCTGGCGATGCCCGGATTATGTTTTTTGTAATGATAAATATTAAAATTAGTGATTATTTTTGGGGTTTTTTGTGAACGGTCCCATTAGAAAATGTATAATGATGTAGGTGAACTACAATTCCCAGCATCCTGGATCAATTCCCTCCAAGTCCTACAAGTATTCAAAGTTGGCCATGTTGGGTATATGTGCCAAATTTGGTCCAGATCCATCGTCAGTTGGTTTCACAGTACTATCTGGATGTGGGTGAACTATAACTCCCAAAGTCCAATTTGAATTCCACCTAAACCCAGCTAACATTAAAAGTTGGCCTTGTTGGGTATATGTGCCAAGTTTGGTCCAGATCCATCATTGGTTGGGTTCATAGTGCTATCTAAATACGGGTGAACTACAATTCCCAAAATCGTGAGTCAATCCCCCCAACCCAAACCCCCTTCCCCAATATTCAAAGTTAGCCATGTTGGGTATACATACCATGATTGGTCCAGATCCATCATCAGTTGAGATCACATTGCTGTTTGGATGTGGGTGAACTATAACTTCCAAAATTCTAGGTCAATTCCTTCAAAACCCCAACAGAACTTAAAGTGGGCCATGTTGGGTCGGTGTGCCAAGTTTCATCCAGATCCATTGTTATCTGGGTTCACCGTGATCTCTAGATGTAGATGACCTACAACCGCCAAAATGCATGGTCAGTTCCCCCCCATCCACCCTCAAATTCCACCAGTATTCACAGCTGAACATCCTGGGTACCAACTGTGGTTCAGATTCATTGTCAGCTGGGTTTACACATCTGATGTAGGTGAACTACAACTTCCAAAATTCAAGTTTAATCTCCCCAAACCCCACCAGTATTCAGAGTTGACCATCCTGGGTCTATGTGCCAAGTTTGGTCTAGATCCATGGTTGGTCCTCTCTGGAAGTGGGGGGCGTCTTGGAAAATACACACCAATTTAAAAAAATACATACATGCATATTAGGCATGTGTGATAAATAAAAAATGTTTCAAAAACCATTACAAAATTAGGGGGTGCTGACGTTTCATTTCTAAAGTGTTTCTAAAGTATAGTTAGGAAAACTTCAGTTACTTTTTGATTATACTTTCTCGAATTTGATACAACTTCTGACAACTAATGGCCAGCCAAGCTTCACAGGAAAGAAGATTAAGGCAGTTTATAACCATCGCTTTGGCACCAGAGGCAAAAGGGACTTTGATTCCCTGTAATGTAAAGGATTTAAATATGAATCTTTCCTTCTGCCCCCACTAATACTCACTAGAACGTCCCCCTAGAACACTATATATTATTTATTTATTACCACTTTGCAAACAGATATGGAATGGTGGTATTATTACAGCATAAATGAGTAAAATCTGTCATGAGAGCATATTTACATAAACATGATCCTGATACTTCAGCGTTCAAGAAAGTTACAAACAGAATGCCAAATAACACATTTAAACAAAGACCTTAGATAGCCCAACTACTTGTGTCAAGTGCCAGCAGAAGTGGGAGCATGAGGAAAGCTTGGTTTTGTCCCTCGGCTTCATACTATCATTCGCTGCATTTGTTCCTTGGCAGCAATATCTTTTCACCACCTTCCAAAGGCTTTTGTTGTGCACCAAAAATACTGGCTCTAGTCCAGATATAAGTAACCATTGTTCATGGAAATGCTTAATGGGAGTCAAATAGGCTTTGCTTCCTTTGTACTAAATTCAGTGTGACAAGGATTTTTTAGGCAGTAGTAAAAGAACTAAGATGCAGCAATGATTACGTGCCTTTTTCTATTTCAGTGGTTCCCAACTTGTGGTCCATGGACCACCAGTAGTCCGCAAGAACTAAAATATTGTCCACGGCCTTGCCATTACTACACCATTGCAAGAAGAACGACTAGTCTCGCGAAACCTTCTTATAGTGCTGAGGCTTATTAAATATGGTTTTCTGTGGGCAATCAGATGGCGACTACTGGATAGCATATGTTCTGTATCAGAAAGTAGAGCTGGTGTGGCCTATCCAACGCAATTTTCTGAATCAGCACCCCAAATAACCAAACCAAATCTAAAGTTGACCAAAAAGTTGGATGTGATCCCAGGGCCTTTCCAAAAAGCCATATAACCCAGAATATCAAGGCAGAAAATCCCACAATATCTGCTTTGAACTAGGTTATCTGGGTCCACACTGCCATATATTCCAGTTCAAAGTGAAAAATGTGGGATTTTATTCAGCTGTGTGGAAGGAGCCCCAGGTACAATTCTCCCCCATCCCCAGCTCCTAAGTTCAATATGAAGTCCCAGAGCCAAGTCATCGTCTTGTGTTTTGTTACTGGCCAAGAAGATGGAGCGAAATGTACATAAAAATATATGATAAAAATCACTCATAGCTGCTTTCATCTCTGGAGCAGTAACATTTAAATTATTTCTGCATATGGCCTCAAGTGGAACTGCTTTTGAAACCTGCTACATTTTGAGAAGTTGGCTTCAAGTTTTTTAAATTTCAAAACTGAAGAAATTTGCTTCCAGCAATGAATTAATTGAGTGTTGGAAGACATTGGTAGGCACAAATGATAGATGTATTTGAGGAGAAGGGCAAGATTCACAACAGGGTACCTGGAGTAGGTTTGTCATAATTATTTGCTGTTCATAGCACGTAATTAACTGAAGAAATGTTATCAATAAAGATCAGCCTCCCATTTCTCCCCGTTATTGTAGTTTGAGGGCTTTTAGGGTTTTGACGTGCATACTTGATACATACCTATCTATCACATGAAGGCTTAAAACCTAAACTGCCCAAAATATGAGGAATATCCAAAAAGTAAGGTTACAAGATGTTTTTAAAAAAACAAAGAATGAATATATTTTAATATAACTTACATGGATTATAGCATAGGTATTACATTATTTTCCACATAATCACCATTCAGTTCAATACATTTTGTCATTTGTGCAATGAGATTTTGATGCCTGTGTCATAGAAGTCTTCCACCACCTTTTCAGTCAGTTCGTCACTTCGATTTTACACCTTGTTGTCATCAGAAAAGTGTTTTCCACTTCAGTTTAGTGAACAGATGATAGTCACTGGGTGCAAGATCGGGTCTGTGAGAGGGGTGGCTTAAAACATCCCAACCAAATGAAGTCATGAGCGGTGTGCGGACACGTATTCTCATGAAGGAGACAGACAGAAGGGAAACGGAATGAGGACACACATCTCAAACCTTCACCACAATGCCAGTTAAGCTACTGAGGACTGGCACTGCTCATTTGCTTCCACTGGCTTTTCACTACACAGCACTCCCTGTGAAAATTCCCTGTGAGAACTACGTGCCTTGTAACCTTACTTTCCAGATAACCCTTGTCGCATAAGTGTTCCACTGACAGAATTATGCCATGGATCTCCATTCACCACCTTCATGGTTTTGTTGCAATATCCCCCCAAATGGCTATTCTATGGTTGGCAGAGAGCAGGTAGTCTGATCAGCGCACAT